TTGTCTTGTTCCTGATTTTAGGGGAAATGCTTTCAATTTTTCCCCATTGAGGGTAATGCTTGCTGTGGGTTTGTCATATATAGCTTTTATCATGTTGAGGTATGTTCCTTCTATTCCTGCTTTCTGGAGAGTTTTAATCATAAATGGATGTTGAATTTTGTCAAAGGCTTTTTCTGCATCTATTGAGATAATCATATGGTTTTTATCTTTCAGTTTGTTAATGTGGTGTATTACATTGATTGATTTTCGGATATTAAAGAATCCTTGCATTCCTGGGATAAAGCCCACTTGGTCATGGTGTATGATTTTTTAAATATGTTGTTGGATTCTGTTTGCTAGAATTTTGTTAAGGATTTTTGCATCTATGTTCATCAGTGATATTGGCCTGTATTTTTCTTTTTTTGTGGCATCTTTGTCTGGTTTTGGAATTAGGGTGATGGTGGCCTCATAGAATGAGTTTGGAAGTTTACCTTCTTCTGCAATTTTCTGGAAGAGTTTGAGTAAGATAGGTGTTAGCTCTTCTCTAAATTTTTGGTAGAATTCAGCTGTGAAGCCATCTGGTCCTGGGCTTTTGTTTGCTGGAAGATTTCTGATTACAGTTTCGATTTCCTTGCTTGTGATGGGTTTGTTAAGATCTTCTATTTCTTCCTGGTTCAGTTTTGGAAAGTTATACTTCTCTAAGAACTTGTCCATTTCTTCCAAGTTGTCCATTTTATTGGCATAGAGCTGCTGGTAGTAGTCTCTTATGAACCTTTGTATTTCAGTGTTTTCTGTTGTGATCTCTCCATTTTCGTTTCTAATTTTGTTAATTTGGTTCTTCTCCCTTTGTTTCTTAATGAGTCTTGCTAATGGTTTGTCAATTTTGTTTATTTTTTCAAAAAACCAGCTTTTAGCTTTGTTGATTTTTGCTGTGGTCTCTTTTGTTTCTTTTGCATTTATTTCTGCCCTAATTTTTAAGATTTCTTTCCTTCTACTAACCCTGGGGTTCTTCATTTCTTCCTTCTCTAGTTGCTTTAGGTGTAGAGTTAGGTTATTTGTTTGACTTTTTTCTTGTTTCTTGAGGTAGGCCTGTAATGCTATGAATCTTCCCCTTAGCACTGCTGTTACAGTGTCCCATAGGTTTTGGGTTGTTGTCAAACACATTCTTTTTAATAGCTGAGTAATATTCCATCATGTATATGTACCACAGCTTTCTTATCCATTTGTCTGTTGATGGACATCTAGGCTGCTTCCATGTTCTAGCTGTTGTGAATAGTGCTGCAATGAACAATGGGATACATGTGTCTTTTTCAATTTTGGTTTCCTCAGGGTATATGCCTAGGAGTGGGACTGTTGGGTCATATGGTAGTTTTATTCCTAGTTTTTTAAGGAATCTCCATACCATCTTCCATAGTGGCTCTATCAATTTACATTCCCACCAACAGTGCAAGAGTGTTCCCTTTTCTCCACACCCTCTCCAGCATTTATTGTTTGTAGACTTTTTGATGATGGCCATTCTGACTGGTATGAAGTGTTATCTCATTGTAGTTTTGATTTGCATTTCTCTAATAATGAGCGATGTTGAGCATCTTTTCATGTGTTTGTTAGCCATCTATATGTCTTCTTTAGAGAAATGTCTGTTTAAGTCTTTTTCCCACTTTTTGATTGGGTTGTTTGTTATTGTGGTATTGAGTTGTATGAGTTGCTTGTATATTTTGGAAATCAATCTCTTGTCAGTTTCATTTGCTATTATTTTCTCCCATTATGAGGGTTGTCTTTTCACCTTGCTTATAGTTTCCTTTGATGTGCAAAAGCTTTTAAGTTTAATCAGGTCCCACTTGTTTACTTTTGTTTTTATTTCCGTTACTCTAGCAGGTGGGTCGTAGAGGATCTTTCTTTGATTTATGTCATTGAGTGTTCTGCCTATGTTTTCCTCTAAGAGTTTTACAGCTTCTGGTCTTACATTTAAGTCTTTAGTCCATTTTGAGTTTATCTTTGTGTACAGTGTTAAGAAGTGTTCTCATTTCATCCTTTTACATGTAGCTGTCCAGTTTCCCCAGCACCATTTATTGAGGAGGCTGTCTTTGCCCCATTGTATATTCTTGCCTCCTTTGTCAAAAATAAGTTACCCATAGATGCATGGGTTTATTTCTGGGCTTTCTATCTTGTTCCATTGGTCTATGTTTCTGTTTGTGCCAGTACCATACTGTCTTGATGACTGTAGCTTTGTAGTATAATCTGAAGTCAGGAAGGTTGGTTCCTCCAGCTCCATTCTTCCTCCTCAAGACTGCTCTGGCTCTTCAGGGTCTTTTGTGTTTCCATATGAATTGTGAATTTTTTTGTTCTTGTTCTGTGAAAAATGCCATTGGTAATTTGATAGGGATTGCATTGAATCTGCAGATTGCATTTGGTGGTATAGTCATTTTCACAATATTGATTCTTCCTAACCAGGAACATGGAACAGCTCTCTATTTGTTTATGTTGCCTTTTATTTCTTTCATTAGTGTCTTATAATTTTCTGTGTACAGTTCTTTTGTCTCCTTAGGTAAGTTTATTCCTAGATATTTAATTCTTTTTGTTGCAATGGTGAATGGGATTGATTCCTTAATTTCTTTTTCTGATTTTTCATTGTTAGTATATAGAAATGTAAGTGCTTTCTGTGTATTGATTTTGTATCCTGCAACTTTGCTAAATTCACTGGTTGGCTCTAGTAATTTTCTGATACTATCTTTAGGGTTTTCTATGTATTGTATCATGTCATCTGCAAATAGTGAAAACTTTACTTCTTCTTTTCCAGTCTGGATTCCTTTTACTTCTTTTTCTTCTCTGATTGCAGTAGCTAGGACTTCCAGAGCTATGTTGAATAATAGTGGTGAAAGTGGACACCCTTGTCTTGCTCTTGATCTTAGGGGGAATGCTTTCAGTTTTTCACCATTGAGAATAATGTTTGCTGTGGGCTTATCATGTATGGCCTTTACTATGTTCAGGTAGGTTTCTTCTATGCCCATTTTTCAAAGAGTTTTAATCATAAATGGCTGCTGAATTTTGTCAAAGGCTTTTTCTGCATCTATTGAGATTATCATATTGTTTTTAATCTTTCAGCTTGTTAATATCGTGTATCACATTGATTGATTTGCGTATATTGAAGAGTCCTTGCATCCCTGGAATAAACCCAACTTGATTATGGTATATGAGCTTTTTGATGTAGTAACCAGAGTTTTACTTATTTTTTAAAACCAATTCAACATAATTAAGATTTATACAGTTTTCACACAGCAGCAGGATACAAATTCTATTCACGTTCCCATAGACATAAACCAGGAGACAATGGATCATATCCAGGGACATAAAACAAGGTGCAAAAATTTCATAGTCTAAAGGTATTGAAATCATACAGAGTCTGTTTACAGTCTCATTTCAAAATGTTTCTCCATTTGATGACCATCTGGAAGATTTATTATTTTTTTTAATTAACAAACTCATTTGCTTGCCAACAAATATGTATTAAGTGTTTACAATAGGTCAGGCACTGTGTTAGGTATTGTTTTTTCAAAAACCTTTTTTTTAAATTATGGGAAATTTCAAACATAAACAGAAATAGAAAAATATAATGAAATCGCATGTAAAAAAGGCTGTAAAGGATGTAAATTGCTTCCATTTTAAGGAAGTTTCAACATCCTCAATTCAAAGCCAGTCTTATTACCCCTTCCACTTCCCTCCCATCCAGATTATTGTGAAGCACTTTTCGGACATGCCACCTCATCTATAAACATTTCAAAATGTGTCTATTAAATATAAGGGATAAGGGCTTCTTAAAAAACCCCCACAATACCACTAGAAAATGAATTCCTTAATATACTTAAGGAATTACTTAACAGTGTTATTGTTACTAACAATATCACGATTGTGATGATTTCAGTAATCTAAATCAGAATCCAAACAGTCTACACATTGTGATTGAGTTTTGTGTCTCTTAAATTTCTTTAGTCTATAGGTTTCTCCTTTTCTCTCTCCCCCTTAACATTTCTTTTTTGAAGAAGTCTCATTGTTGGCCTTATACATTTACCCATAGTCTGATGCAAATAGCCACATTCTGGTTCCTTTAATGTTTCTCTACCCTTTGTGTTCTTTATAAATGGATCTAAAGTAGGGTTGCCAGATTTAGCAATTAAAAATACAGGGTTCCCAGTTAAAATTGAATTTTAGATAAACAATACCTTTTTTAGTATTTTTAGTATAACTGTGTCCCAATTGTGGGACATACAAAATATTGCATGGTACATGCTTACACTAAAAATATTGTTTGTTGTTTATCTGAAATTCAGTTTTAACTGGGCATCCTGAAATTTATCTGGTAACTGTAACCCTAATCTAAAAGGTTTGTTTGATTCAGATTTAATTTTGAGGGGAGGAGGGTGGAAGTCAAAGATTTCTTCATCAGTTGTGGTATGTGCTTCCTTCAGGAGCATTATGTCTGGTTGCCTTTGTGATGATAACTGCCATTGATGCCTAGATCCATAATTCATTAGGATTGCAATATGGTGATCTTCCAATTTTCCAAGGTGTATTTTTTAGAGGAAGTTTGGTGTAGTGATCAAGAAGTCAGGCCCTGGCATAGGAAAGACTTTGCTTGAGCTCTGGCTCAGCCACTTTCCTAGCTATGTGACTTAGGGCAAGTTTGTACACTTTTCTTAGCCTTAGCTTCTTCATCTGTAAGACAAGATTAATAATAGTACATGTCTCATAAGTTTGTTTGTTTGTTTGTTTTAGGATCAAGTGAGTTAAGGCACATGGAGGATTTAGAACAGTGTCCAGCACAGTGTTTTAAGAGCTGGCTATTATATTTAATGAGACTTTTAAAGAATTATGGCCTTTCAAATTCAGGATTCCCAATAGTAAAACTTTCAGTCCTCCATTCAGCAGTTACATTTTAACATAATAGAAATAACAATAAAGATGTATTAAACTCTCAGCCTCTCCTGTTTGTCCAGTGCTTTGCAGTCAACAAAGGCCTTCTTCACATGATTCCATTCTCATTTGATCCTCGTAACAGTCTGTTAACAAGAAGGACTGGTCCTATTATTTTTTTAAATATTCATTTTTATTTGGCAATTTGGCTTGGTTGTGGCACTAAGGGATCTTTAGTTGCAGCATGTGAACTCTTAGTTGTGGCATGTGAGATCTACTTCCATGACCAGGGATGGAACCTGGGCCCCCTGCATTGGGAACATGGAGTCTTAGCCACTGGACCACCAGGGAAGTCCCCTTTAAGTGTGAAGAATGTTGGACTTAGGGTTGTAACACAACTAGAAAGTCACACAACAAAGTAAGGACTGAGTCCTAGTACAAGGCTCTTTTGAGGGAAAACATTGAGAGAGAATTGTGTGGTCCTTTCTCTGTGCAACACTTTCATTTCTTGGTTCTGGTGACAACAGTACCTTGTTTGCTTTTTCAACTTTTCAGCTTCTTGTTTCTTTCCCAAAGTACTCTCTCTGAAGAGGAATAGTTAAAATGTTACCTCTTTCTGCCTCTGTAACTCACCTTGCCCCTTGCCAAGTCTGCATCACATAGGTCACGTAGGTCACGTAGTCTCAGAAAGTGGGGACTTGCAATACTAGGAACTGGAGTTTATCTCACTCACCCTTGTCCTGCTCTTTGCAGTCACCCAGCCCCTGCAAACCTGCTTAATTATGCCTGTCCAGGTCAGACATCCCCCTCCCCATCTTGACCACTGTTCCCACGCACGCTCGCAAAACCCCTTAGTTTAAACCAGCCTATTAACAGCTAGTGTTGCCCACTACAGTCTGTCTATAAAAACTCTGTAATCCCTTTGTTCAGGGCTCAGAGCTTGGAGTGTTAACTCCTCTGGGCCCGCTGGCATAATAAACCTGAGTTCTCCAACTCTCCGAGTGTCATGCTTGGTTTCTTGAGTACTGGTTTCTACAACATCTCCCGGTTCCCATCCTCAGTCTCTCTTCTTCTGAGTTTAGTTGCTCGCCAGGGTTCTTCATAGCTTCCCTCATAGCTAAGTTGGTAAAGAATCTGCCTGCAATGCAGGAGACCCTGGTTCGATTCCTGGATCGGGAAGATCTGCTGGAGAAGGGTTAGGCTACCCACTCCAGTATTCTGGCCTGGAGAATTCCATGGATTATACAACCACTATTTCTTCTAATATTTAGGCTTCCCTCATAGCTCAATTGGTAAAGAATCTACCTGCAATGCAGGAGACCTCGGTTCAATCCCTGGATCAGGAATATCCCCTGGAGAAGGGATAGGCTACCCACTCCAGTATTCTTGGGCTTCCCTTGTGGCTCACCTGGTAAAGATTCTGCCTGCAATGCAGGAAACCTGGGTTTGATCCCTGGGTTGGGCAGATCCCTTGGAGAAGGGAAAGGCACCCATTCCAGTATTCTGGCCTGGAGAATTATGTGGACTGTATAGTCCATGGAGTCACAAATCATTGGAAACAGCTGAGTGACTTTCACTTTCACCAGGGTTCTATCCTTGGGGCATTTTTATTGTTATATTCTTCCCCTTTAATATCTACTCAATAGTTTCATCTAGTCAGATAGCTTCAACTGTTCCTTCTGGAAAAATGATTTTCATATCTATATTTCTAGCCTCTACCTCTTAAATTTTGGACCCCAAATTTCAGTTGCCTGCTTGATATCTCCAAATGTCTGTTTGAGACAATCTTATGAATCTTATGTTCAGTGAGTCTGCTTATCTGGATCCTGATTTTTTTAGAAATTTATTTTATTATTTTGGTTGTGTTGGGTCTTCATTGCTGTGTGGGCTTTTCTCTAGTTGTGGAGAGTCGGGGGCCACTCTCTAGTTGTGGTGCACAGGCTTCTTATTGTGTTTTTTTCTGCTGTGGAGCATGGACTCTTGGGTGTGTAGGCTCAGTAGTTGTGGCACACAGGCTCAATAGTTGTGGTACATGGGCTCAGTTACTCTGTGGCATGTAGGATCTTCCTGGATCAGAGATTGAACCCGTGTCTCCTGCACTGGCAGACGGATTCTTTACCACTGAGCCACCAAGGAAGCCCTGGATCCTGATTTTTAACCAATTAGCTATATAAATCAAACAAGGAGCTGATTGAGGAAGTTTGAATACTTACTGATGACATTAAGTATTTGATGACATTAAAGACTTAATGTTACCTTTTTAGTTGAGATGATTATATGTGGCTATGTTAGGAATATTTTTCAGAAATACATATTGAAATGTTTATGGATGATATCATATGATGTTTGGGATTTACTTCAAAATAATTCAGTTGGGGAGAGAAAGAATAGGTAAGGGTATTGATGAGAAACAAGATTGGTTGTGTGTTGACAGTTATTGAGCTAGGTAATGGGTATATAGGACTTCAGTATCCTATTCTCTTTTCTCTCTGGAAATTTGCATAATAAAAAATTTTAAAGCTCAAATAGACCCCAAACTGAACTAACCTTGTGTACATGCATCTCCTGACAGTCATTTCCCCTTACATTCACAGTCACTTATTATGAAAACCCAAAGCTCTTGGTTTCTTCCTTCTCCCTGACCTCTACACCCAATCAGTTGGTCTACACTGTGAGACTCCCTTCACAGTGAATCCTGCTTCTGTCCTTCTTTCCCATTCAAACGGTCAGTACTCTATTAAGTTCCTAATTACTTCTTGCCTGCACTACTGTAATGGCATTCATAAATTTCTCCCCATTTCCAGCCCCTTCTCACTTGGTATATGTAAAGCATATATGTAAAACATATTGCTTGGTACTTAGTCCCTTCTCCATTTCTCCTCAGTAGTGAATTCATCTTCCTTTCTGCTGCCCGCTTCACCCTCTGATGACACCTCCCTTCTCTCACCCTGAGACTTCCTCACTCCCCCTTTCAGAATTGCTTTCTTCCCTCTCCCTCCTGGATCCTGCCTCTGCACTGCTGCCTCCACTCCACCCAGCTGCTGTGCTTTGTAGAGGAAGCGTGTGTCTGAATAAAGACTGATTTCTCAGTTTCAAAGTTAGAGCAGAATTTTGTTATCTTAGATGAGCGGAGCCTTTACATACAGAAAAAGGAGGCATCCTAAATGTGAGTGAAAGAGAAGCAAGTTTTAAAGCTGCCTTTTGTCCCCTCAACTCAGTGAAGAAGAGGCAAGATCTCTCTAAGAGGGATCAGCTTCTAGATTCAGGCAGGCTAGGGTAAATGCTGGTGACAAAGAAAGGAGTAAGGTGGTTATTATTCCAGCAAGCTGGGGACTTATTGAGGAAATAACTCTTGCCTAGTCTGGCTAAGGGAGGAAGAGCAAGAACTGCCTCTGGTGGGTCTCTTAGGTGCAGCATCAGCAGTATGGGTTGGGCAAAGGTGCTCTTAGGCCTGTCCCAGAGAAATAGAACTCTCCCTTTTGGTGGCCTGCTTAGGTATAGTTCTATCTGTTAGGAAGAGCAGCCAGGCATTCAGGGGCTGGGCTGACCAAGCACAAAAACTCCCTATCATTAAAAAATACTGTAAATCAATCCCATTCTTATATTTAAAGCATAACACTTGCAACTGAAGCCAAACTGCTGTATTATAATCGAAATGCATCTGCCTGTTTTGTATTCAAGGCCCACAGGCTTCAACTAATTTAGGGGACCATCTGGTGAGAAAGAGAGAAAGTCTCATTACACAGCAGCATTTGTTTGGAGGCTCTGGCCTCAGAAGGAATTGTCCTGGGGGATCCCAATCAATTTCCAGTGCTCCTGACCTTATTATTTAGGTAAGAAAGGCATGGCTCTGGAGTCAGATCAGACTCAGTTCCTCCTGCAGCATTCTCAAACTGGGTGTCTTGAGCCATATAACTTCTGAAGTTTGAATTTCCTTAGTTTCCTCATATGTAAAGTGGGAATTAGATGATACCTGAAGTTGCTCGGAAGATTAAAGGAGATAAAGTCTCCAAGAGGGAGCCTAGAATCATTGCTTCCTTCCCCTTGATCCATAACTTAATCCTCCATCTTATTCCCTCTGAGCATTGCTCTTGCCTTCTTTGTCTAATATCCACTTTAACATGGATAGACATGGGCATGCATTTACACAGATCTTTGAACAAAAGGTCTGAAAAACAAGTTTTATTCGAATGCTATTATTTGTTCACTTCTACAGAAGTTAAAGAATTGAAATGAAATTGCCCTGGGATGCAATGGTAAGAGGGCAGTTTTGCCTCTTCTGCAGTATGCTAAGCAAATCTATTCTCAAAGTCCTCCTGTCCCACATTTAAGTAGTTGAAAGGATTAGACCAGTTAGCTGGGACAAGTACTAGTTGAAGCTCAGGGGTGGGAGGAGAGGGAGTTAGAAAGCAGGCTGGGTAGAGATGGAAAATCTGGGAGTGGGGATGGTTTTAGATTTTAACTAGATAACTGCTACTTAGGTGACAGCTTTGTTTCAAGTGATAATATGAATTTGGCTGTATTCCTAGTTAGGATCTCATGCTCAAAGTTTGCTCCAAATCAAGAAACAAAATTAAGAAGTGATGATTAAAATAGGCAGAATGTAATTGCTGAAACTGTAGTAGATACCTGGAACTTCATTATGCTATTCTCTATACTTGTGTGTGTTTGAAAGTATCCATAATTAGAAGTTTTTTGTTTTTATTTTAAATTTTTAAAAATATTTATTTGACTGTGCTGTGTCTTAGTTGCAGCATGTGAACTCTTTAGTTGTGGCATGTGGGGTCTAGTTCCCTGATCGAACCCAGGCCCCCTGCATTGGGACTATAGAGTCTTAGTCATTGGGCCACCAGGGGAGTCCCAGAAGTTTTTTGTTTATGTGACAATTATGAGACAGTGGAGGTCACTGAAACACTGGGGAGTTTGATGCCATGTCAGTAAAGCTAGTAGAGGATATTTGAACCAAAACTCTCTTAGAGGAAATGTGGTGATTTTTATAATTCATATTTAGGTAAGTGGATTTATTTGAAGGATTACACAGCATGCTGATAAGACATTTAATGGATATAATATAAATTAACCCCCCAAAATTTCTGACAAGGTGTACAACCACTGTTTTGGGTTTTTTGTTTATATTTTAGTTTTTTCTTGTTTGTTTGTTTTGTTTTTGGCCATGCCACAAAGCTTACAGGATCTTGGTTCCCTGACCAGGGATGAACCCTTGGCCATGGTAGTGAAAGTGCTGAGTCTTAACTGCCGGACAACCAAGGAATTCCTGAGACCACTGGTTTTAAGGGGATTGGGTCACATTAGGACTGTGACTCTCTTTCATCTGAGTAGATATTACCGTAGAAATAGGAAACAAACCATAGAGATAAAGGAGGTTAAGGACATTATTTTGACATTTAGAAAATATGATTTC